TGTGTGTGTGTGTGTGTGTGTGTGTGTGTGTGTGTGTGTGTGTGTGTGTGTGTATGAGATCCTGAATATATTAAATTCCTCATGACTCTGCATCTACCCTATAGCAAGTATTAAAAGAATTTCAACAAGCTCAAGCGAAGTGCTGAGAAGTATATATTTATTTCATACCTACAGAGTGAGGTTGTTGAAGCTAAGCTAACAGTCTCTATAGCTCTGAACTGAACACACAGATGTGACAGTGGTACTTCTTCTTCCTAATCAGAACGAATTAAGTCGTGTAAGTGAAACCTCCACACAAATCAGCTGAAATCAATCCAAAGTTCATTTCAACATGTCAACAACAAAATGTGCGAGCCTTGATTTTCTTTGGGGGAAAAGAGAACCAGTAAATGTGTTCAGTTTTCAACATGGCATGAGGGCGGAGTTATGTCGTTGTGCTCGATGGGGTTATTCCCCATTCCTTAGCAGCAAAAAAGAAAATACATCAAGTCTGAAAATATGATCTGACAGGAATGAGGAAACTTTTGAACTGTCACTGTTGTGCCTCCACTTTATGCACGCAAACAAAAAAAGGACTTAACATTCTTATACGTGCAACCATCCCTCCTAACTTGAGACATCAGCCGCTGCAAGGCTAAGTTTATTCGTTATCATTATCACTTTATCCCTGAAATTCAGGCCGGACCTTTTCACAGTGATCCACCACATGTCCTCTCTTCCATGTGCACAACTCAAACTGCACCTCTGTAGCACATTGATACAATTCATCCCAACCCTGTCAGTGTGAACAGTTCCCTTATATCCAGTTATCCTGCTTTCTGTTGGTTGTTTTAAAGGGTAATGTGACAAAGTTTTGGAAACCTGCAAGTGATGAATAGCACACCCACTAACCCACACACACATACAGTGCATACACACACACACTTGGATATTAATGGTAATTTGTCGGCACCTCCTTCTTGACAGACAGTGCAAAGAGTCCCTCCCTAAGTCACCTGTCTATTGTGAGCCATATAAAGCAAAGGCTGGGAGCAGTTGGTGGCAGAGCTACAGCGGAATCAAACACTATCAAAAGTAAGTTATGATCTCTGTTGTTTTATTTTTGACATAGATTAAGAATCCCAGTGGTTCATAATATGGAATATGTTTGCCTGCTGGAGATGCTGTTTTTAACAAGACATCATGGAGACACAGATTTTATCTAAATTCATATGCTCATACCAAAACCTACTTTGCCATTCTTTACAGAGCACCAGGACAATGGCTCCAGTGGGCATGATTGGCACGTTGGCTTGGTTTTCCCCGGAGGTGGGCATCATCTCGCTTGTCGCCTTCCTCGTCCTGAGCGTTACTCTCCTCGCCCTTTGTGCCAGGTGTAACAGGTGAGGGAAACGTGTATTTGATTTAAGTATATTTGAGTTAAGTCATGTGCTCCAGTTTTCTGTCAAATATAAGCTGCTTTTGACCATTTTAACCCCTTAAAGCTTTCACTCCAAGGGAGTTAAAGGAATTCCCATGTGTCACTTAATGTATGAGTGATCGTGACTAACTCAGCCACCCAGTTTAAAATCAGTCTGTTGGAATGGGTGTTCACAATATGCTCAGAACTTGTGAGGCTTTAATTCCTATTCATCACTTTCCAGCAGCAGAACAGAGACTTGTTTGACTTGATGGTTTTTTTGTGAAGGGTGTTGCCTGTTGGAGGAGGAAGTAGAGAAGGGCAGTCACATATCTTTTAAAGGTAGCTAAGTCAAATGGGTTGGGCTTGAATCATTAAGCGTAATTAACCTAAGATAGTCATGTGCATTTGGGTGTGTGTGTGTGTGTGTGTGTGTGTGTGTGTGTGTGTGTGTGTGTGTACGTGTCCATGAAACACATGTGGTCATCACCGTTCCCACCTGTGTGTATACATGGTTTTTTTGCACGGTCATGACTGCGGTTGTCATGCCAAACATACCAGTGACAGTCTTAACATGTGCACTGTTCCTGTACATTCCAGGACTTGTTTGTCACTCAGAGGAATGAGGTCACAATGGCACCATAGTGATAGATAAGAGTCCTAAACTCATACTTGTGAAGATTGTATATTGAATGCAGCCGCCAAACCCAATGTGTGCGGATTGAGACAAAGATCAGACATGTTGCAATGTTGCATCAAGGAATGCTCGGCGAAACAAAGACTCCGGTAGAACTGCAGACTGATTTGTTATCTCACAAGTTCAACTGATAAT